CTTCTGGGGGAGCGAGCGGTGCTCGGCGCCTCGGTGTGTCGAGGGAGGACTGTCCGCTGACGCGGTATACTCGACGTGCTTGGCCTCTCATTGAGGTAGTACTCATTGTCTGTCCAAACCTCCAAGAGCTGTTTGTCACCTCTCTGACCCTGTTTCCACCAGTGACATATACTCCACAGGCCAACCTTAGAAAGGGCCGTTTTATGTCTAATCCTTCAGATACCCCCCTTTTAAAAAAATATTTTATTTATTTATTTTGTGTGTGTGTGGCCAGCTCAGCCCACCAGTGGGCGGGGCTGGCTGGCATGTGGTGCTGGGGATTGAACCGAGGTCCCTGTGCTTTGCTTAGCTTAGCTTGTTCTAAGTCGGTGCTTTAGACCACTGAGCCATCTCACCAGCCCCTCCAGATACCTTTTGAAAAGCTCATCTCTTTGGGTTTCTGAGGCCAGATTGAGTGGTTCCACCAGCATGGATGGGGAACACATCTTGTCTCCAGAACTTGGCATGCGTCAGAAGACAACTTTGCCTGCTGGGTTCCAAGCCATCTTGGAAGACTGGTCTGGAAATTCTCTTTTGCTCTTCTGTGAGAAGCTGTGTTTTCCCTGGTGATTGCAGAACCCAGTCTTCCTTCGATGACACATGAGTAATTTACTTTATTCTTACTTCTGCATCCTGTGAGTGAAAGAACAGCAGAGTGATTGAGTCGAGATAGAAGCTGTAGGTGGGAATGGCTGGGTCCGTATCTATGTTTGCTCTGCAGGCAGGAGGAAGCTTCTTTTCCGGAGGTGAGCAAGACTTCTGAAGTGTGTTTTAATGGGCAGTGAGGTCATAGGAAGTCTTTTTGTCAGAATGCAAACTATTGAACAACCCTGGGGTTGTGTGTGTGTGTGTGTGTGTGTGTGTGTGTGTGTGTGTATGTGTGTGATCATTAACTGTGTTGTGGCAACTTAGCTTGAGTAAAAACTGCCCAGTAGATCAGTAAACTCTGAGCATGCCTGTGGATGATTTGGCATGGAGGCTGCAAGCTGAGGAGGGAAGACCTACCCTGGTTGTGAGTTTTTGCCTGCTGATAGGCTTGAAGCCTTGACTGGGTAAAAAGAGAAAAGGGAAGGATTTTGCTCTTTGTGCTTCTTGGGAGGAGCTCCCATCCGTGTCATCACCTTGGGCTTTTATTTCTAGTGCCTTCCAGCGCACGCTCTGGCTTTCTGACCCAGGCTCACAGTGGGCTCTGTGGTGAGCCCAGCCCTTTGACTTTCACCTGAGTCCTCTGGCTCTTTAGCGAGAAGGTGGCCACCGCGTGCTCCACACCAGTTCCACAGGCGGCCGTAAGTAGCTCTTTGTTCTATTCCATCTGCTCCCACAGGGAGCCCTACTGCCACGTGTGTGTGGCCTGTGCTGTACCTGTATCACCTGGGCAGTGGTCAGAGCCTGTGAGCAGGGCGGGTGGCCAGTGCAGGGCTGCCCACCACTGCCTGGCTCCTCTCCTCACACCACCCCAGACCACGCTGCCTTTTTTCTGGTAGTGTCCGTGAAAAATATCATTGGGGTCTGTGTACCACCATCTACCTAATGCCACATACTGAGTTGTGAAAACTCATACAGTGAAAAGTTCTGTTTCCTGAGGAATGCATTTCTCAGAAAATAGGTATGAGCAATCCTGAGACATTTCTTCGTGGAGGTCAAAGTGCCTGCTCTGGGTCTTGATGTGGGAGGCAAATGTGGGGCAGTGAGGAGCCCTGTCAGGCAGGAGTCTCAGGAAACCTTGCCTTGGCCTGCATTGGGCTTACGCTGCATGTGTCTCTGTTGGCAGGCTTGGGTGCTCGCGATCTTGTTAGCCTCTCCAGAGCTGGTTGTTCTGCCAACCTCTTAGTGTGGGAAGGAGGGTGCACTTACCAGGGCCTCAGGCTTGGCCCAGATTCGCTCAGTAGAAAGTGCAGCAGGGATCACTGTGGCCGGAGCTTGGCTAGGAGTGAGTGTGTGGGAAGCTTCTGGGTAGTGGGGGCTGGCCTCTGAGGCCCCTCGCACTCCTCAGTGGGGGGCAGGGTGGCTTGTTGGCAGAGCTCTGCCCAGGGCTAGTGGTTCTGGAGAGAGCCGTGAGTAGGACCTAAGACTGCGCCAGGGCTTCCCAGAGGTGGCAGACTGGCAGGGAAGGGGCTCGAAGGCAGCTGCACCTGTGTGAAAAGCAGTAAAGCCCTGGATGAATTTACTTACTCCTTTATTTTTTTTTTTTTTTCTTTGTAAAGGAAAATAAATTCATTTCAGAAGGGTTACTCTAGATCAAAGGAATTTGTCTTCAGTGAGAGAACTGTCTGCTGTCCGATGATTTCCTGCTAATG